TTATATCTAACTAATCCGTATCAATATTAAAGTTTAAATCAAATTTGACAAATCAAACCAAAAGTTTGATAGAGATCCTTAAATTACCTGTTACCTGTTCAACAGATCAACCAAACATTTAAATAAACAAAAAGTTTGATAGATACCCCTAAATGACGATTTTGAAAGTTGGTTCCCTAAATTAAGAATCAGGTGAAAATTGGTTTCATTTTGATACAATTTTCCCTATGTAAATTGCAGTTAGTACAAAATCAGTACCAACATTTATGTAACTTGCAGTTAGTACAAAATCAGTACTAACATTTACCAATCAAAAAATGATATTACCAAATAAGTTGGTACAAACTTTAAAGTACAATTGGTTGGTACATAATACAGGATCTTATGTATGGATTATAATTGGTTGCTATACAATCTTATGTATGGATTATAATTGGTTGCTATACAATATTACCAAGTTAAATCCTTCCTAAATGTATTTTTTTTTAATTTAAAACACGTTTTTCAATGCTAACCTCAAATCATAAACCCTAAACTGTATCACATTAATTTTCGTAGTAAATGACTGAAGCCTGCACGTATGCAGTGTCATAAGAGAATTGTTTTTTCTGGTATTCAGTCTGTCTAGATAATACAACAATCTTATTCTGATTCAAATTTAATCTTTGTTTTTATACGTGACAAGGTTTTCTCAAATATAAACTAAAGATTAAATTTGAATCAGAAAATAGCTAAAAAAAGTAAAACCTTGTATTAAATTTGTGTGTTTATGTAAAATTCCCTTTCTTAGAGGGTGTTAGGGATTGATTATTTGAAACAACTTATATTTTTTTATAAAATCATTTATCAATTTATTATAAGTCAGAAAGGTTTTAACTTTTTCAAAGCTTTATTATTACTGATTTGACACTGATATAAGTTATTTATTCAAACATTTAAAAATGCTTATTATCGATATCACATAAAAATAAGTTAATAAGTTATTTTTATAAGGAATCTCAAACACCCCTTTAGTGCCAACATCATGCAAAATTGGTTATAAACCAAACAAAACCCCTTTTCCCTCTTAACCCTCTTTGTTTCACCCATTGTACTCGCCATTATCATCATCATCATCATCATCCATTCGTCGAACAGAAAACAGATCATCTTTTCGACGACTGAATTCCATGGAAGCCTCAAGAACTACACTCATCAATAAGTATGCTCTTGCCTGTGCTCTCTTGGCCTCCACCAACTCCATTCTCTTGGGTTACGGTAAGTAATTCGTGTCTTTATCTCGATTTGCAGACGCAATTGATCATAGATTAGGAAAACATAGCAATTAAAGTAACGATTTTGCTCGATCTCTTCACTAATTCGCGATACCCAGTTCACTTTTTTCGCAAACACTGATGAAAATATGATTTCATGAGTCGGTGTAGTCGGTTAAGTTCCAGATTTGAGTAAAAAAACATGAATTTTGTTGAGGAAATTGGTTATTGAAAATGGTGAACCAAGTGTTTGATGAAATGCCTGTGTGCAGATATTGGAGTAATGAGTGGAGCGGTGCTGTTTATTAAAGATAACTTGAAGGTGTCGTCAACCCAAATAGAAATTCTTGTGGGTTCACTAAATGTTTGTTCTTTGATCGGATCTTTCGCCTCCGGCAGAACCTCCGACTGGATTGGCCGGCGATACACCATCGTCCTCGCGGCTGCAACTTTTTTCATCGGAGCATTGCTCATGGGATTCGCTACGAATTTCTGGTTTCTTATGGCCGGAAGGGTGGTCGCCGGAATCGGTGTCGGATACTCCCTTATGATTGCTCCGGTATACACCGCGGAATTGTCACCGGCGGTGACACGTGGGCTTCTCACATCCCTCCCGGAAGTCTTTATCACCATCGGAATTTTATTGGGCTATATTATTAACTACGCATTATCGGGTCTCCCTTCACACATCAACTGGCGGTTGATGGTCGGATTTGCTGCCGTTCCGGCGGTGGGTATCGCCGGCGGCGTCATGTTCATGCCGGAGTCGCCACGGTGGCTTGTGATGAAGGGTAGAGTCGGTGAGGCCAAGAATGTTTTAAGGAAAACATCAGACTCTGAAGAGGAGGCACATGTGAGGTTGGAGGAAATTACCAAAGCTGCCCTTGATGTGGTGGCGTGCGACCCACGTGCCGACACTTTTAGAGGCCAAGGAGTTTGGAAAGAGTTCTTAAAGCCCTCGCCGCCGCTTCGCCGGATTCTTATCGCCGCCATCGGAATCAACTTCTTCATGCAAGCCTCCGGCAACGATGCGGTGGTTTACTACACGCCGGAAGTTTTCAAGGCCGCTGGAATCCGCCACCGGAAACAGCTTTTTGGGGTGACGATAATCATGGGCCTAGCCAAGACTTCTTGTGTTTTGATTTCGGCTTTTTTCTTGGACCGATTCGGTAGGAGGCCCTTATTGCTATTGGGCTCAATGGGCATGGCCATTTCTCTAGCTGGGTTGGGCCTGGGTTCAAGATTCTTAGAACACTTAAACCACAAGCCCACATGGGCCATCGGGTTGTGCGTGGTGGCGGTTTGTGCGGACGTGTCATTCTTCTCGATTGGACTCGGGCCCATCACATGGGTCTACACATCAGAAATATTCCCTATGAGGCTACGTGCTCAAGGATCAAGTTTAGCAGTGTCGGTAAACCGATTGGTCAGTGGGATTGTGTCAATGACGTTTCTTACCATTTCAAACAAAATAACGTTTGGAGGGATGTTTTTCATGCTCTCGGCTATCATGGTAGTTGCAACGGTTTTCTTTTATTTCTTTTTACCCGAGACGAAAGGGAGGAGTCTGGAAGAAATGGGAACGATATTTGAGAAAAAAGATACCGAGGGTAGTAAGGTAATTGAGGTGAGCGAAAAATAGTAGAGAACGGATTTTTATTTCGAATACGGTATGGCAGTAATGAAAGTTGTGGTGGGTTGTGATGTTTTCTTAACAATCGTTTTCCCTCTAAATGTGTGCGGTCATAACAATTTTTTTAAAATATTTTTAAAATAAAGTGTCGTATTAGCTATTTTATATGTTATTTTTGAAAAGTGTCCTATAAACACAACTTTTAATAGAGAACTCGTTTTTATGGAACATTTTCTCAAAATAGTGCCATATCAAATGTATGCTTACCAAGTCACATTAATTTACCGGATGAATATGATAAAGACCAATAATCTTACCGGTAAGAGCAAGACAAGGACCAAGAGTCATATCTGGTAAGTGAGAATGGGGACTCTTACCATGGTTAGCGCTCACCGGATAAATTGTTGCATACGATGCCGTTTTTATTGACTAAAATCTTACCCGATAAGTAAGTAATAGTGTTGAATTTTACTGGTAAACGCTTACCGAGTAAGTGTTTGGTAAACGGCCCCTTATTCTACTTTTATGTCAAATGGGTTAAGTCTTTTTTCGATATTTCTTATAGGCCGTAGTACCTACCCCTAGAAGATAGCTTTCACAGGCTTTTGAGTAAAGAGAAATGACATTCTAGTACCTCTCCCGTAGGTCGAGTGGCTTCCTACATAGGGAATACGAGCGGTAGTAAATGAGCGATGGTTATTTATTAAGAATTAATCGGCTAAACACGATCTTTTTTGATCAAATCTCTAATGTACTTGGGCTTGACCTTCCGACACTGGGCAGACGTCAACCCCCATATATGGTCTTACGACTTTTCAGGTGGAGCACTGAAATGCGTAGAGATCGGAAAAAACACTACGGCGAAAGTACTCTGCTAGGCGACACTTTTTAAGAACCAAAAATATTTGTGCCAATATAATAGATACATTACCAAGTGTGAGTGATTTTGTTGTAGAAGTTATAGTTTTTTTGGAAATAACTACCAGCAAAAAATATCTTTTAATGTCCAAAATTGACTCCTTGATTTTGGACTAAGGGTGTAAATAATGCGAGTCGAGCTCGGGTGTTACTATACTCGACTCGAACTCGAAACCCAATTTCCAAGCTCGAATTCGACTCGAAAACTCGCGAGTAGTAAAAATCAAAGTTCGACTCGAACTCGATAACTATTTCCCAAGCTCGAACTCAAGCTCGAAACAAGCTCAAATCAAGCTTGAACTCGAACTCGAATCAAGCTCGTAACAAGCTCAAATTAAGTTTGAACTTGAACTCGAACTCGAACCAAGCTCACCCATTGAAAATTTATGAGATTTTTGGTTTTTCTCTTATAAATTTTAAAACTTAAAGGTGTTCTCTTAGTTTTTATAAAACTAAAGGGATCAACTTCAAACTTTATCATAAAAAAGTCAAAGTTAGAAATTTCATTCACCTCCGTCTCTTTTTATAACATCTTTCTCTCTTCCAATGTGAAACAATTTCACTAAACCTTTTTATAGTTTTTCTTCCTTTTTTAATTGTGATTTTAATAAAAAAATAATTGATTAATTTTTATAATTAAAAAATACATAATTTTGTTTAAATATCTAAAAATATAAGACATTTTTATTATTTATATTTTATAAATTTTATCATAAAAACTTATTATATTTTAAAACTAATTATATATAAAATAATTATATATAAAATAATCGAATATCTTACGAGATTTTCGAGTTGAGTATTAGGTAGCTTGACTCGACTCGTTAATATGTCGAGTCGAATGTTGACCGAGCTTTAACCGAGTCGATCTCGTATAATTCATCTCGTATTGTTTACATCCCTACATGCATATTCATATATGAATAATTAGAATGAAACATGAGTTTATATATACATGTATTAATTTGTGAGTATTCTTTTGAGTTTACTAATGATTCACACATGAATCATTTATTTATATGTTTTAAACCTTTTTGTATTTTTTTTATTTGAACTTCTAATTTTTGTAATGTGTTTTTTTCATTGCACTTTTTCATTTTGATACATTTTTGCATTAAGAAGATGCAATTTAATAATTAAGCATAAATGTTCATGAATTTATTAAAAAAAATAAGATTTTAAAATTTAATTCTTTATTTTAAAGTAATTTTATAAAATCTGCTCGGAATTGAGAGCTGCATTATCATATATTAAAGGGGTATTTGTGCAATTCAATGAAATACATCTTGATTTTATGTTTCATTTTATATTTTGGCTCTATTGATGTTATAATGCGATTTTATATGGTTTTGAGAAAAAGATTTTTTTTTATTTTTTGAAAATATAAAATTGAAGATATTATAAAATTTTGAAAAGAAATAATCGATATTAGTATCAAATTAACTATTTAAAAGTTTGTTTGTGTGTAATTTCTTTAATTCAATTTTTTGTTATAATTTAATTGAAATTTAAAAACAAATTAATTTATTTTTGATTTAATAAAATATTTTTTTATGATAATAATTAAGTATTATATTAAAACTCAATGATTATCTTGATTATATTTTAGATTTTTTATATTTAAAATGATGTTTATCGTGTATTTGATTATGTTTATCTTTAGTTAGTTACACGAAATCAGACATGAAGCTTTAATAACATGTACTCATGCACATTCTACTTGTAATTTTGAATTTTAAGTAATATACATAAATAAACAATAATTTATGCATAAAAAATTGTTTTTAATAGTTTTGTCAAATGCTTTATAATATAATATAGATAAGTATACTTTTTAGCCACATCTAACACCTTTTCACAAAACAACGAAACCACAATCAACGTTGCAAGACATTTTTTTTCTTGTGGTGCCACAAGTTGCGTTACGTCTTATCGGTATTGTAAGTTGCGACTTTGCCTTACTTTTAGTGTGTCGGAACATGTTCTTGCGATGACGCAAACTACGGTGTCTCGACTTATTTTTGCGGTGTGCCCACTTTTCATCTTGATGTGTCGGAAACCGCAAGAAAAAGTGTATTTGCAACATTGACTTGCGATTTCTTAACTATTCTATGAAAGCTAAAAAGTAAACTTCTTTCACAAAGTGATTATTTACGATAATAACTTCCAAAATAAGCCATTCAATTTTGCAAAAGATGGACTAACCCTTAAATAATTTAGACTTTGAAGTAGTGATGGCCGGCCCGGCCCTGCCCGTAACCGCCGGAGGACCGGAAGCGGGACCGATATGGACCGGTTGAGGGACCGCCGGTTATGATCCGATTATGAAATTCGTCATTTTTTGGGACCGAGACCTACCAGAACTGGGACCGGTTAAGGCCCAACCCGGGACCGGTTTTTGGCCATCACTACTTTGAAGTTAAAAGTGCCTTAAGTCCAATTCTTAAAGATCCAGGCTTATAAGGCCCATAACGTGGGCATAAGGGTCTTTATTACACAATTAATAATTCGATTCATTTTCAATTAGGCCTTGCTCTAGCTTCTTTAGGGGTTATTACTGGCCCAATATACGAAGGATGATGTGAGAAACGTAAGAAAATATTTGAACCCTTGATTATTTTTAATTTCATGTTCACCTATGAATTGAGCTTTATAAGAAAATTGATCCAGTACATCTCCATTCGGTATATCTCATCTTAATGTGCATCTTCTTACGTTTCTCATGTTAACTCTTATTCTCACTGGAACCCGTCTTGGACCCATAATGATCTTGGGATTTGGGTTTATAAATTTGAAGGCCCAATTAAAGTGAGATTAATGAGACCTAGTACTTCTAGTTCAAAGACAATTATGCCTTGTTTTAAATAGTAATGATATTTGAATATTTCGATTTTAATAAAATTTATTTGGTTTTATTAAAAACTTTGTGTTAGTGTTTTTTTTTTTTTAACCTGGATATCCAACCCGCTATGCGAGCCGACTAATCTCAGGACGACCACCTGTTTTGCAGATAGCTCGAAGTCACCGCATTTGAACCTCCGTGGTCACAAGGAGATTTTTATTCCTCTTTGGATTTAAACCTGGGACTCCTGGTACTTTTGACCTTTGAAGACAAACTCAAACCAATCAAGCATCATCCTTATGGTTAAGTTGTGTTAGTGTTATTTAAATATTTTATTTGATAAATTATTTATAAATTTAGTATTTAAATGCACTTTAAGTAGATAAAAAATTTAAAAACTAAAAAAAATCTTAAGAAAACTTGAAGTTTTTGTTTTTAAAAAACTTGAAAATATTAGAAAAATCTTGAAAAATTTGTTATATAATTGATTTATAAAAACTTAATGTTTAAAAAAAATAGGGCCTATGTATAACTGATTCCAGGCCGGGTCGGGCCGGGCCTTGAATTTTTGTAAAATCTATAACAGGTCCCAATCGGTTTTGGGTCGGAGGGGACCCAATTTGGTCATCTCTAGTCAGGAACAACAATCCTATGTCAATCCTAGATTTTTAGAGTCACAATCAGCCCTAAAAAAACGAACAACACCTTGATCAGTTTTGGTCTCCATGCACCTCCAGACTAAGGAATCGTCTCCCGAATGCTAAATGGATAAACGCTTTATACTACCGGGTAAACATAGTAAGTATCGACAATTTTACCCATAAGAGGTACGACAAGGAGTCACGGACCAACAATCTTACTCGGTACTAGAAGTGATCATTTGTGGGTTCGATCCGGGCCTAACATATTTTTTTGTCCAACGGGCGTAATATAACAAACCCAAGTCCGTTTTTGCAGGCTTATGGACTTGTCCGTACCCGTCTTATAAACAGGTAGGCCTTGCCTACGGGCTAACGGACTTTTTCACATTTGAAAAACAAAACTTATATAAAATCAAAAGTTATGTAAAACCATTTAATTACATAAGTTCTTTCGAACATAAAATAAGACGTAAAAGATATTAATGCACATAGTTTATTAAAAAATAGTAAAATATTCATCCTCCTAATATTTCAAGATCGAGATTCGAGACATACTATATAGCAGTGATATTATATATATTTGGCTGATGGTTCGTACTTAATAGAGGGAATCCAACCCAAAACCACTTTTAAATTTTTTTTTAATAAAAAGC